CACACGCAACAGTAGCTCATGGGTACCACATATAACTTTGCCAAAGTTCTCTGACAAAGTTGAGACACATGAAGCTTGCAGCTCCCACTACATCGCTCTGACCAAGAAGGGTAAAAGATTAGCAAAGAAACAACACTAACAAAGTTTAGACACATAAATTTTGAAGGTCTAGCTACCATATTATTACCCACAAGGGTAAAGGAACAGTACCACTGCTGGATAATTGGAAAGTCCCGGTGTGTCAACCTCTGTGCTTCGTGGCAAGGTAGACTAGCAAACATGCCCAACCTTTACTCACATTCGAGAAAACACTCCCAACAAGATTGCTTGCTCCAAAATCGAAGAGGCACCGCCCTCCGAATCTCGAGAGCCAGACTCCCAACATGATTACTTTCTCAAAAATCGAAGAGAGGGTAAAGGAACAGTACCACGGCTGGATAATCGGAAAGTCCCTGTGTGTCAACCTCTGTGCTTCGTGGCAAGGTAGACTAGCAAACATGCCCAACCTTTACTCACATTCGAGAAAACACTCCCAACAAGATTGCTTGCTCCAAAATCGAAGAGGCACCGCCCTCCGAATCTCGAGAGCCAGACTCCCAACATGATTACTTTCTCAAAAATCGAAGAGAGGGTAAAGGAACAGTACCACGGCTGGATAATCGGAAAGTCCCTGTGTGTCAACCTCTATGCTTCGTGGCAAGGTAGACTAGCAAACATGCCCAACCTTTACTCACATTCGAGAAAACACTCCCAACAAGATTGCTTGCTCCAAAATCGAAGAGGCACCGCCCTCCGAATCTCGAGAGCCAGACTCCTAACATGATTACTTTCTCAAAAATCGAAGAGAGGGTAAATGAACAGTACCACTGCTGGATAATTGGAAAGTCCCTGTGTGTCGACCTCTGTGCTTCGTGGCAAGGTAGACTAGCAAACATGCCCAACCTTTACTCACATTCGAGAAAACACTCCCAACAAGATTGTTTGCTCCAAAATCGAAGAGGCACCGCCCTCCGAATCTCGAGAGCCAGACTCCCAACATGATTACTTTCTCAAAAATCGAAGACACCGCTCTCCGAATCTCGAGAGCCAGACCCCCAGTAGGATTGCTTTCTCAAAAATTGAAGAGGCATCGTTCTCCGAATCTCGAGAGCCAGACCCCCAGTAGGATTGCTTTCTCAAAAATCGAAGAGGCATCACCGCCCTCCGAATCTCGAGAGCCAGACTCCCAACATGATTACTTTCTCAAAAATCGAAGACACCGCTCTCCGAATCTCGAGAGCCAGACCCCCATTAGGATTGCTTTCTCAAAAATCGAAGAGGCATCGTTCTCCGAATCTCGAGAGCCAGATCCCCGACAGGATTGCTTGTTCGAAAACCGAAGAGGCACCACTTTCCCAACTTCAAGAGCTGGATCTCCTTGGATAAAGCTTGTCTGTAATCTTCACACGCAACATCAGCTTTCCAGATACCACAGACCACTTTTTCAAAGTGCTCTGACAGAGTTAAAACTTGTGAAGCTGGCAGCTCCCACTACCGTGCTATGACCAAGCAGGGTAAAGGAATAACATTATTACTTGATGTTAGGGAGACTCCTATATATGTCGACCTCCATCCCCAACGGACAGGCAGACCTGCAAAAATGCTCAACCCTTCCTCTTATCTGAGAGGGCACTCCCAACGAAGCCTTTCGAAATATTCAGCTTTCTTTCCCCCCGATAATACCTCTGTAAACAAGCTATACTAGAGCAAGAATATCTCATATCATCAGGGTTAAAAGCAAGAGTATCCCATATCATGCTTTTTCCCTGTCTTTTCTTTTGGCCTTGTTCTTACCTGCAAGACAAGGAGAAAGAGAGCAATTAGTCAGCACTTGGAATCAAGCTTCCAGCCAGGAACTGACTGCCTGGAACCCCTTACCTGATTACTTACTTGGCATTGCTCTCGAGTACTCATCTTCAACACCTTATGCTTCTAGGGAAGATCCCGCATCTGCCTGAGGAACAGATAGGGCAAGTGAGAAGGATACAAGGAAGCATGTGGAGACAAGCGTAACAGCACACGTGCCGATACATCCATTACTCTGTCAAAAGCAAAAGTATCCCATATCAGCAGGGTCGAACGTACTCTAGATTTGATGGACTTGTTTTGACCCTCAAATTCTTCAGTCGACCTTATCTCTGGAGGAAACCAGAAAACCCTCCAACCCAGTTCAAGAATAAGCCTGTGGAAAGTTACTTCTTCAAAAGCAAAAGTATCCCATATCATATCTTCTCATTTTTCTTCTCTTTATCCTTCATGCTGCCTGCAAGATAGGGAGAATGTGAACAATCAGCCGGAGCTCTGATTGCTTACCTTGTCTGTCACCTCTTTCAGCAGATCCCCTAGCTCGGCGACTTGGGGGACTCCTACTACATGGTTTGTATCGCGCTTGACCAAGCCTGAAACTACAAGTAAGCTTCAAGTGACATTGATACATTACCTTGTGCATCTCCATCAGTTACAGATACCACCCCTGGATGGAGGAAGAGTACTTCCAGAGAAGATGCCACATCTACCTATGAGACAGATAAGGAAAGTCAAGACGATACCACACTCCAGTACTAAGAAGTTTCGTGGTTACGAGATCATTCTCCCACAATATTTCCTAATGTCATTTGTACTAAATCATTCACTTGTACTCACTAAAGGAAAGCTTGAACCTATGTACTTGTGTAAACCGTTCACAATTAATGAGAACTCCTCTATTCCGTGGACGTAGCCAATCTGGGTGAACCACGTACATCTTGTGTTTGCTTTCCTATCTCTATCCATTTATATACTTATCCACACTAATGACCGGAGCAATCTAGCGAAGATCACAAAAAATGACCGTTTTCGCTACCTAGGATCTATCTTGCAAGAGAACGGAGAATTAGATGGAGATCTCAACCATAGAATACAAGCTGGATGGATGAAGTGTAAGAGTGCATCTGGCGTGTTGTGTGACCGTCGTAGGCCACTGAAGCTCAAGGGAAAATTTTATAGGACGGCAATAAGGCCAGCGATGTTGTATGGCACAGAATGTTGGGCGGTGAAGCATCAACACGTACACAAAATGGGTGTAGCGGAGATGAGGATGCTTCGTGGGATGTATGGGCACACGAGAAAGGATAAGATTGGGAATGAGGATATCCGAGGTTTGGACATGTGCAAAGAAGGCCTACTGACGCTCCGGTTCGAAAATGTGACTACGGGACAGAGGTTCAGGGCCGAAGGGGTAGAGGAAGACCTAGGAAAACTTTGGAAGAGACCCTAAGAAAAGACTTGATTTTGGATCTAACGGAGGACATGACACAAAACCGAGCGCAATGGCGTTCTAGGATTCATATAGCCGACCCCACTTAGTGGGAAAAGGCTTTGTTGTTGTTGTTGTTGCTATTAATTACTTTTATTTTGGAGCTGAAAATTATTAGTTAATTAATTCATATGTTCCATAACTATAGCTATGACTCTATGATTTGGGTGCTGGGATGCAGATAAACATCCATTGGTTTGCTCCAGGCCGAAAATCTGGAGAGAAAATGAGAGAGAGATGGGATGCTAAGAACCAGGCAGGGAGAGGCAGAACCAAAGAACCAAGGTGGAAATGTTAACAAAAGTTGACATCAATGTTAATTTTGGGCTTGGATTCTAATGGAACTTCACCACGAGGGTTTAAATTCAAATTTTTTCACCACGAGGGTTATCATCCAATTAACCTATCACCACAGGGACCATTAATTCAATTTAGCCAAAAATTTATGAGTATTGGTCTTTAAACTTGTCACAATGCAATGCAATGCAATGGTTCTTTTGGATAATTCTGTTAAAATGTTCATCCGTATTCCATTTATACTCAATATTTTGGACGTAATTTTAATGGTATTATGTGAAAGAACATTTACTCATGAATTTTTAATTCATAGATCAACAATTTATTGGGTCCACAAATTTTGATAAGGTAACTAGTAAATAAACGACCAGTGGTAGAATATCGCTAGAAAGTGGTAAATTACCTTGGTGATTAGGGTTTTTAGTAATGCGTTTCTCCCAACCACTGGTTAATCAAGTCAAAGGTGGTGTGCATTACTCGACTGTTGCCGTTGTCAGCTATTTCAAATATCACAATGAATTTGACCCACTGCTTCCCTATCTGCTTCTGCGTAAATTGGTTTAGTATATATGCAATATATATGTAAGGGTGAACCGCCAAATTAGTCCCTTAATTATTATTTAAGTGAAAATTAGGTTTTTAAATTATTATTTGTTTTCAAAAAAATCAGTCATTGAATTATAAAAATCTACCAATTACATCCCTAATATTAGATTCAAAGCTATTATATTCAATTTTCTGTCAATTTAAGTCACGTTATTTGCATGTGATACACATTGAATGGTAGATTGGTAATTTTTCATAAAGAAATAGTGCATGGAGTTAACTTTGGAGGGTAAATTAGATATTAGATTCGCAACCTATACGACATGTTAAGGGCTTATGGGCGAGAAAAAAACGGTATTACACCCTAAAGTGTGTCAAGTGATTTAAATTGACAAAAAATTGGATAAAATAGTTTTGAATATAATAGTAGGGATCAAATTAGCAGTTTTTATTGAATTTAGGGACTTATTTTACCCAAAAAATAATTCAGATACCTAATTTTTACTGAAGTGAGAGTTTAGAGACTAAATAAGCATTTCACCCTATTTGCTGTCGGCTACCTGGTGCCGGCACATTGTAAATGTGTTGTGCAAGCAGAAAATTTGAGGAAATGGTGGGCGTTGATAATATATAATTACAATCACTATAAGATATTGAGAAAATTTCTTTTAATCAAAACAAAAACAATCAAGTATTGTAACAATGAATTAAATGGTTGCATCAAATTTCTTTCAACAACACAAAAGACCTTGAGTTTGTATATTCCTTAACCAAAAGTCTAAATCCTGTAATATTTACGCACAAGAAATTGTGCCTTGGATCTTCAATAATTTTTCTGATAGGCACCACACCAAACCGGAACTCCGGTTACAACGCCGCCGCCAAAACTTTTGTTCCCATCCGCCGGAAACCCCATCTGCGAGTGAGACCACGTCGTTGAACTTGCACAAGCGTACATCTCATGAACGTTCATCCTCACAGAAATATTAATAATCCCATTCCTCTCCCCCTTGTGATCTCTCAGCCTGTAACTCAAAAAATGCATGCAACCCTCTGGCACGTACCCGCCAACAAAATCCGACTCCGGAATCGTCGCCGTCCCGATCGTCCTGATGCCGGACGAAGTCTTGCATTGGACCTCCACCGTGATGGACTTGGAGTGCGTTGGGAAGTTGAGCACGAGCTTCTCGTTCCACCGTGGGTAGGCGCCCCCATCGATGTCCATGTCCGTGGAGCAAAACTGGCTGTTGCCGTCAGTCCAGACGGTCACGGTAGCGTTTTTCTTGATGGGTTTTCTATCTAATTGCAGATTCTCAGCGGAGATCACCTTGATTTCGAGCGTCCGGGAATTGGCTGCCATGATCGATGAAGAGTGCGCGCTAGTGTTTGATGAATTGCTTGTGTTAGGTTAGGGGAATTGTGAGAGCCGTTGAGAGGGAAGAGGTGTGGGTGGGAGGTTATGTAGGAGTGTTGAGGGAAGGGTGTGAGAAAGGAGAGAGAAAGACCCACGTGGTTTCTGTGGAATCCAAATTGAACGATGAAATACAATACGAGCCGAATGTTGAATGGATTTCTTGACAAAATGTTGAATGGATTCCAAGTTGACTCTTGGGCCTTTAAAGAAGTCTTTGTTTTTTAAGAGAAACTTCCACGTACTTGGTTCACGCTTCTTATAGCGGAGGGAAACTTTCAAGCAACTTGTTCTTACAATTTATTGTGGAGATAAACATTCTGAAAATATGGACTATCTTTACGTATTTTTTAAATAATCATGTGGAGAAATTTTTTGGTATGACTGTTACACATGAAAGTGCTCTCGCATTACATATATTCCTTCTTCTATCTTTCTTATCCTCATGTGGATAAATTCTTCTACATAAACATAGCATATGGATAGTCTCTCACTAGTGATCAATTTTTATAGTATGATCATTGAAGTTGTAACGTCTAGTGATAGACACATACATTCATACACCTCTCCTCACCACCTGACTTATCACGTGGTGAATGAAGTTTCCAACTTGCAACTAATTGTAGAGGAAATCCAACTGTAGTGTGTGGCATGGTTGGAGAATTTTCCCGAGTCATGCTTGGAATTGAATTTACACGATTTGTTACGAAACTCAACCCTTTGCATAAATGCGTTTATTATATAATTTGAAAACTTAATTTCTTCTTCTTTATCTAAACACTGAATCAAAATTGAGCATGAGACCTTAGTCTTTGATTAAAGGTGTTGATTGTTTTGTAGGTACATTTTCGTCAAGATCAAAGGCGAAAAAAATTTGCTACCACAAATTGGTGCTTTCATTGAGAGCCTGATTCAAACGCTCGAAGAATTTGGTTCTTGGAATTTTTTGTTATGTTGAATTTCTCATATGCTCCTAGTCATTGAAATTTTTCCTAGAAAAATTCTTTGATTAGTCCCTGGAGTAAAGATACAATGAAAGGAAATTCTGAAACCACGACGAATGGAACCCCATAATTTAAGGATTTGGATTAGAGAACGAAGACGATGACGTGGCCTCATGAAGACGGTCCTCGAGGTTCAACACAACAGCAACAGAAGCCCCACCGTCGCGGAACGCCATTATCACCACGACTGCAATGTAGCAACCACCATGTGGCCACAGGTAGTAGCCCTTGTTGCCATTGCCATCACCACCTAGGGAAGGAGGCCTAAATTGGAGCCTATACCACAACAGGTTGAGGGCAGGAAACCTAGCCCACTGCAGCAATTGCAGCAGTAGGCCTAAACTCAAGCCGCAGCCATTGCAACGCAAACCCACAGGCAGGTGGCCCACATATGAGCCCAGTGCATGACCCAACCAACCAGGCGGGTTGCCCAGCTCCAGGACTCACTCTGGCTACTCGCCCCAAGGCCCAGACCGGTCCAAGACCGATTCTGGCCACTGGACCGACTTCTGAACCAAAGATCTTTTCACCCTATTTTCGCATGTTTGCCCATAGGGCACGTTTGTTTGACAGGATTAAGAGGGCTTGGACTGGACTAGACTATAGTCCGACGTTTGGTGTGCATCCGGATTAGCTTTAATGAGCTTAACCCGGACTCGCTTGGACTAAGTACCTCCTTAGCCGTTCTTAACGAGCAACCCCAAAATTGGGCGGATTCGTAAGCCAGAGCAAACCGAGAGATTTTCTGCGTCTTCCCTTCGTCCTCATCTCTACGTTCCCTCAACGTCGTCCTTGCCGTGCTCCCTCATCTTCGTCCTCCTCACCCTCATCTCTGCGTCTTCCGATCTCTGCATATGTGATAGGATTTTTAAGTCTATGCAAATAGGGTCAAAATCACATGAAATACTTGCAAGAATACAAGGATATCATAGTATAGATGCTCATGCAAGGTCGTTTTCCTCAAGGACTATTGGGATAATTTATGTAGAAACAATTCCTAATCAAAATACTTAGAATTAAAACTTGAGAAAATAGAGTTTGAGATTGGGTAAATTAAAAAAAAAAACGAATTTTAATTAAAAACTAATATAATCGAAGAAAAGATTTTTAAATACCAAGTTATAAAGGCACTAGGGTTCCACCATCACCCAGCAATCCTATGAATTTCTACCAATTACTTACGATTTACACATGCTACTTCGAGGTTAGGTTTTCCTAATATATATTCTCCTCGTGATATTCAAGCAAGAACATATATCTAACATGCAATCCGTCTGTGATATTCAGATCAAATATGAACATGCAAGACTCCTGAAGTTTTATGAAAACCTTTTTAAGAACCATGCAACCCCTAAGAACGTGATATTCGCCTTAGATGGAATTACAATTATTAATCACAAGAAGCAATACTCAATCCCCCGGTGATATTCCGACCGAATTGCATCCAATTACTTGTCTAAACATCCTAATGGTGGCCAATCATCAAGATAATTAGATAGTTTAAAACAGTGATCAATAATTCAAAGTGCGCATGCAATCAATCGTAAGCAATTAAATAAAAATTACATATTCATGCTAAGGCTCAAGGCTTCGCCCTAGCAAAAGGAATTAGTTATGCATATTCATAATTGAAAAGAAAATATTATTACAAATAAAAGGAATGAAAGCACCTTGAAGTAGAAAATCTCAAAGAACCCTAGCCAAGTTCTTTGTCTCTGAAGTTGAATAATAATAAGCATCCCCAAAAATTGTAGACGGCCAAAGCAATATATTTGCTCAACCTCCACAAACCCTAAGACATAGGTTTTTTTTTTATTCCAACTAGGAAACTAAGAAAAATAATAAAATATCTTAGAAAATAAAACCCTAATTAAACTAGGAGAATCTGCCAAGTATTTGTCCAGCCACGTTTTAGCCTCAGATCTCCTCCAAATCCGGCTCAAGATAGCTTGTTTTAAAGATAAGGACCTTCCGAACACATCTCTAGAAGGCCACGAAACCATCCGAGGTCATCTTGGGCTCCAAAAACGCAATTTAAGCCCAGAAACGTCATTTTCCAGCACCGCGCATCGCTCCTTTATTTTATCGCCAGAAAATAACCGTTTGATGGAAAAATCCCAAATTTTGATATGACCAAGCTAAGTGACTCACGAACGTCTTCTAATTGGAATTACTCCGAAATTCGTCCATTTGACCACGTTTTGTTCCAGAGGAAGTCGAAAGTCCTATATTGAAAATACAATTTAAAGTATCAAAATTCTTCCAAAATATTATCCAAAATATACTAAGAATAGGGTTAAATATATAATATAATATTCACTTATCAATATGCTGGCCCTCATCTGAGTTGTATGGTAAACTTCGATTCTTCTATTAATTTCATGTATTTGTATTGCAGATGGTAATTTTACTGAGCTTTATTTGATTTTATTGTTTTGGGTTTGATAATTTTTGAATCATAGAGATCTGCACTTGAATAAATTAGGGTTTTGACATTTAGGTGAAATTGAAATTAGAATTTGGGCTTTTCATAAGATGAGATGGAACTTGGGAATTTAGGATGTCAAAGTTGTAAAACTTGGAAGTCCTACCCACATGTTGTTTTCGATTTTTAAAAATTGATGTTTCAACAATGGGAGTACTCTGTGTGTGTGTGTCTGCGTGTGTGTGTGTGTGTGTGTGTGTAATGTGTATGTCATTACCAAAAATCCTCGTCTCCAAGCATACTCTCTCCAAGCACCTCTTTCACTGTATGTTTCTATCTGCCAAATTAGGATGAATTGATGAGTTAGTGCAGAAGAGTTTCCTCTTCTCGATTTAGTGTTAAAGTCATGTCATTCACTAGAAGGCCTTTCACTGCCAAATTAGGTTAATCGAACATGACTGGGCATAGTTGTTTTGGTATGCTTTAGCTCATATCGAAACATTTGCGTTTCTTTAGCTTAACTTTTCTGGATGATGAGGTCAATTATTCTGTTTGCATATTCTAATGTCACTGAGCATGGATAACTTGATTATGCATTTCTCTTTTCTCTTAAGTTTTTGTTTTCATTTTTTTTATTCTTGTTTCATTTTGTTTCTTTATAACTTTCTTGGTCCTGGGATATATGTTGATTGAGTACAACGAATGTCCAACGTTAGTTAGCTGTCCAGGTATTTGGCATATAGGTTGTGTTGTTCAAGAAATTTAACATTTAGCTATTGGCAGGTAAGATGGAACTTTTGGGTCTTACTATCCTCTGTGTCTGTGTGTGTTTGTGTACTGTGTGTGTGTGTGTGTAATTTTTGTGTGTGTGTTTGTGTGTACTCATTAACGTGGGGGGGGTGTGTATGTGTGTGTGTGTGTGTTTGTGTATTGTGTGTGTGTGTGTTTAATTTCTATGTGTGCGTGTGTGTGTTTGTGTGTACTCATTAACGTGGAGGGGGGGGTGTGTGTGTGTGTGTGTGTGTAATTTCTGTATGTGTGTTTGTGTGTACTCATTAACGTGGGGGTGTGTGTGTGTGTGTGTGTGTTTGTGTACTGTGTGTGTAATTTCTGTGTGTGTGTGTGTGTGTTTGTGTACTGTGTGTGTGTGTGTGTACTCTATGTGTGTGTGTGTGTGTGTGTGTAATTTCTGTGTGTGTGTGTGTTTGTGTACTGTGTGTGTAATTTCTCTGTGTGTGTGTGTGTTTGTGTACTGTGTGTGTGTGTGTGTGTGTAATTTCTGTGTGTGTGTGTGTGTGTGTGTGTTTGTGTGTACTCATTAACGTGGGGGGGTGTGTATGTGTGTGTGTGTGTGTGTGTTTGTGTACTATGTGTGTGTGTGTGTAATTTCTGTGTGTGTGTGTGTGTGTGTTTGTGTGTACTCATTAACGGGGGGGGGGGGGGGGGGGGGGGTGTGTGTGTGTGTGTGTGTGTGTTTGTGTACTCTGTGTGTGTGTGTTTGTGTACTCTATGTGTGTGTG